AAGGTGTATTGTGTAGAACAGGGGTTCCAAACATTTGCTGCACCATCGTTCACTTTCACTTGAAAAAGTTTTCCACCGCCCACTTGTATAGTAAATATTTAAAAGCAAAGCAAAATTGTTTTGTAAATGTTTGTTACTGGTTCATAAACTGACTTTATGATGCAGTAAAAAATACCAAATATATAACGCTGGCATGCAGCGACTGTTACTGCTACTACTGAATGTTATACGAAAGTAAATTTGACCATAAAAATCTATATATATATAATTTACTATTATGGACAATGTTAGTTTTATGGTTAGCGTTGACAAAAATATTAAACGATTTTTGTCCATAAAAAGAATATCGACTACTAGCAATTAATAAAAATTCAGCAAATATTTTTGTTGTTTTCATTCTTCCTTATCTGATTTATATCCGAAAAAATTATATTTCTTCTGAAGAACTATTTGAATGTTAATAACCCTTCTCAAAACTAAAGAAATTACCAAAACATTCGTTATTTGCGGGGATATTTATGTCTTATAATGCGACTCAGTTATTCAAATTTAGCCTCCTTTATTTCCAATCGCCCACCATTTTCTATTTACTTACTAAACTACCACACAACAGTTGAAATCACCCACCGGTGGGGGATATTGTCCAGGTTGGAAAATTCTGCTGTAGAATCGGTATCTTTATTTTGAGTGGCCACTAACACATGAGAACTATTGTTAAATAAAATAAAATCGATGCTTTGCTTGAATCTTTATCTATAAAAGGCAGGATGTGTGTGTGTGTGTGTGTGTGTGTGTGTGTGTGTGTGTGTGTGTGTGACGAATGCACGGCCGTAATTTTCGACGGATTTGCACCAGAATTTAAATGAAAATCCTCCAAGTTAGCGGGAAAGGCCAAGACCGACTTTGCATTTCCCAACTCCCATCGATAGTGGAAATAATCGATTTTTTCATGCTTCTACGGCAGTTTTCATGTAGTTTGCGGCCATTTTCTACTGGCCAGAGTGAGAGCCAATAGCTGGCTGCCACGAATAGGCAGGAAGATTCTATTGGCCAGCGTGAGAGCCAACTGCTGACTGACACAATGTTAACTAGCATGCTAGCACGCAAAAAAAATCGATAGCCGCATTCGTCACAAGTGGGAAAAATTTAAATCTGCATCGCACTTTACTTCAATTGGCTCATTCGCTTGCTTAAACTCAACGTTGATTCTGATTCCGCAGAACTGAGTTGGGTGTGAAAAAGTATTTGTTGTTAACATTCTTTTTTCATTCGGTTTTTCCAGTTACGAGTCCTTTTTTAAAGCTGATCGTTTTGTGTTCATTTTGTTTAGTTCTTTTTTCGTAACAGATTTAATGTTTAGTATAGAGCTTAGAAAAAATTCGCAGTGTGAGATAGGCAAGAAGTAAGGCATGTAGCAACATCAGTACGGCAAAGGGCACTCCTTTAAAGGCAAGGAAGGGCAAAAATATTTTAAGTCAAGTGATAGCGATTGCTGTATGAGTCGTACGATTTTTGAATCAAGCATGGGCAAGTCGTTTTATATAAAGAGCCTCAATAATTTTTAGTCGTCCGCAATAATCCAACAATGACCAGATAGCCACCTTAGCAGACAGGAATACGAACCATTATGTATGTATGTATTCCTGTGTGTATGCATAAAAATATGTTTGTAAGACTTATTTTTGAAAATGTGCATATATGAGGTGTTGCTCAAAGGCTCATTGAGTGACTATGAATAAAAAATTACTTACCCCTAAACCTAGTGGGAATATAGACAGCTATCTCATATATGATACTGCTCTCAAAGTGATAGCGTCACAATCTCTCTACTACAGTGCTCTGTCCAGAAGTGCCTTAACCTTTGAGCAGTATCGTAGGCGTTTCTGTGTAAAACAAAATCTTCAAAGAAGGAGCCAAGAAACAATATCGAGAAGTAAGAAAAATAAAATAGAGATAAATGACTCACCCAATAAGCAGGAAGTCGAGGAGTTCTGGTGTAAGATGCGGAAAAACTGCAAAATGCGCAGTGAAAGAGTTACCTGAATCAAGCAACAAAAACGACAAAGATTGCTAAGAACTACAAAGGACAGGAAGTTGTGGAGAGCCACGATTGCCCACGACTTGAAGGGACACGACACATGAAAGAAGACGAATAGGTGGTTTTTATATACTGAAAAATGCACGTATAGACATTCATTTCTTGTTATACTCAGTTTCTTTAATAGATGGAGTGTTTAACGCTGCCTTATTTCTTCCAAAGTTTGTTTTGTTTTACGGCATATCAACCTCAATAGGTTATTAAATGCCGGCAATATTTTATTGCTAGTATTTTTTTTCAAAATGTATTGCTGGTAATATTTTTTTCAAAAATGTATAGCTGCAAATTTTCTTTTTTCAAAATATATTCTTGTTAATTTTTTCAAAAAATGTATAGCTGGTAATATATATATATATATATATATATATATATATATATATATTGAAAAATGTATTGCTGGTAATATGTTTTTTGGATTTTGTTTGTTTTTTTAAATGTATTGTTGGTAATAATTTTTTCTTCAAAAATTTATTGCTGGTAATATTTTTTACAAAATATTTCTGGTATTAAAACCTATTTTTACACTTTCGTGGTGCCTTGACCCCAGTTTGGGGGTTAACAATTTGCCCATAGCTGGGACCTTAACAGGTGCTACCACACCGGGTCAGAATGGATCTGGGAACACCAGCAATTAAGAGGTAGTTCCACGCTCCTCAAAACGTCCTGATCAGAGGCCTTGCTGTTGGACGTAGTTTATCGTCATACCCAGGACAGTTTGTTCCAATGGATTGACTTGATGTCTTTATACACCTTCGGGCATAAGAGTTCATTATCACGCGAACTTATCACCGTCAGACCGTAAAATGTAATCTTAGTTCATTTCCAGTTTCTTTCAATTATTCCACATGTTATATTTATTACCATCATCAATTTATTTTAATTACTGTTTGAAAAACTAAGTGTCAGCGTAAAATTAAGTAAATTTGCTCTTAAGATCTGCCATTTATTATTGAGCGAGACGAAGGCTTTTCTTACCAAAGATTTTGTATACATCAATTTTTATGTCTACCCTTTATGGAATTTCAAAAACTTACGATGACAGTTTTCTTCCAAAAATCACGGCAACTGAAAATAAAAAAATAAAAAAACACGGAATTAACATTTGAGAGAAAATATTTTATTTTCAATATTAAATAAAACAGAATTCATAAAATAATGTGTTGAATTAACAGCGGTTCAGCAAATAAAGTTACATTAATGATTTTACGTCTGGGAAAAGTTTAGTCAGATTCAATTAACATCTACAGTCCGTCTGAAGTTATTATGCAAATCACATAAACCTGAATAACTTGAATTTGCTTTGAAAATCATTTGTCAAAATTTAAACGTTTAATTTAGACATCAAATCAAGCTTGAGTTACACTTTTAGGTAGTTTCAACATGTTTTATTAAATTCACTGAATTTATTATAAAAAACTGCATTCTGAAGTTGTGTAAAACCAGAAAAATAGCAAACATATATGTTAAGTCTTTGAAGCCTTTACATCTTAACAGTGACCGTTCTCAATAATATCCAGCAATCTATTATCCATTGAATTTGTTAATTTTTTTTTTTTTTTACTTCAGCAGGTTTAATTTCTGACATGGGGGTTTTAGCTGTTTCCCATAAGTCTGCTTTGCTGTCATATTGTTTGCCACATTAATATAATCTTCACAATTGGCCATAGATTTTCAATCGGATTCAAATTGGGACTTGATGGTGGCCATTCCATTATCTTCTCTTCTATAAAACATTTACTCTCAAGAAATTCATGGGTAACATATAACGGTATACATTAGAAAGAGCATAGCTGTGCATAAATACATACTTCACTTTGAAACTGCGATTTTTACCATTCAAGGACAAACTTGTCTATGAAATCGCAATAGTTTGCACTGTTCAGTTTAACACCTTCATCGATTTTGAATGGTTTGGTCAACAATTCTAGGCCATATCACCACACTACCACCTCCTTGCTGCCTTCATCTAGCCACAGGTACATCTGCATCTGATAAAATCCATCCTTTAGACCTTCCATCAGGTTTATCGAGTGAGATTTGTCCATGAAAATTACATAGAAAAGCCAATTTTTATGTATTTTTGGTCTAATTTTGGTCCTTTAAAATATTTGCATTACTGAGAGGAGTTTACCTAGGACATTTCTTGACAAATCTCAATTTGCGAAGTATTCTACACTTTTTGTCCTTCTTGACTCCCTAAATCCCAGATTTTTCAAAGATTTGAGCACTGGTCTGATTGTTTCCCTATAACTTGCTTTAGTTTAGGTTTCAAAGAAGAGACAAGTTCTTAAATCCTTTCCTTTCCTTCAGGTTCTCAACTTAGTTATAATTTCAATGACCTTCTTTATCGTTTGATGATCTCTGTGAAGCTCCTTTGATATCTCCAATGTGGGCATTCCCAAACACAATAACTTATAACCCATAGCTGCTGGGGGTGGAAAATTAGAAGAGATGGTTTCATACATTTACTAAATAAAAACCAGAAAAGAAAAGAAAGTAAACGAAACAGACTAAGCCGGAATCTGAACCCAACCCGCTGATTCCGTTTTCCGATCCGATAACCGTTGCGTTACCGGCACGCCCATGTATGGTATTGCAACTGCAAAAACATCAACCGTGTCTCCAGAATCTTCATCAGATGACGACTGAGTTTTCAGTATGACGTTGGGGCCTAAACATAATTACGTCCAATACAGTGTGCCCTAGCAATACCTATCGATATCACCTAACATTTTTCCCGTCACAGTATGTGAACTCTAGATGCATATGTAAGCTCTCTTCGATCATGAAGCTTCTGCCTATACTTTTCTTTTATATATATATATATATATATATATATATATATATAGTCGTTCCAAGTTTTTCTTTTTTTTCTGATGCAGACGTTCCAAGTTTTAGTCAGCTTGCGGCCATATCACGTTGAAACACCGGTTCACGTACGATCACCGAAATTAAGCAACATCAAGCCTGGTCAGTGCCGAGTTGGGTGACCGTTTGGGAATACCAAGTGCTGTAAGCTTTAATGTGCGTGTGGTGTGATAGGTAACTGGAAATCGGAGAGCCGAGTCCTAATTCCATTCAGGTTCGTCCTATTCACTTACGTGCAAATACCCTTGGGAAAGGTATGAATCCACCTCTTCTCCCCCATCTATGGGTTAATTAGTAGAAGTTGTATCAGTAAACCATTATTATCTCTAAAAAAATCATTACAATGTAAAAATATTTTTCTAGTCTGTAAAGGGTTGATAAGTCGTAAAAACCAAATCCAAATTTTAGCTATTTATACAAAAAAAATCAATTTGTCAATAAAAACCTGACATACAATTTCGATAAAAAAATATTTTATCCATATCCAGTTGACCTTCATGAGCTGAATGAATATTGGCCTGAAGAATTTAAGCAAACGATGGGAACCATTTTTGAAATCGCAAAGTCTTAACGTCCAAAGCATGTGCTTGTCTATATAAATAATAATAATAATAATAATGCATTTATTTTCTGTCACAGTTTTACATAATATTCACATAAACACGGACAGACAACCAACTTTATAAATTTAAGTTTCAAACGTTTCGAACGCACATACAGACAAACTTTGAGCTTTTCAGCGGTTCTCAACCATAGAGGACTCCCCCCCCTATCACCAGGAGGGAGGTTTCAGGGGGGGGGAATCTTTTACTTTTTCACAATTTTCTCATTGACTGTGATCTTCATCAAAACAAAATCGATTTAAATACCCTTGCATTCTTTGAACTTTTTGTTTATTGAATTATGTTTCAATTTATTTATTTAATAATTAGTTATGAATTAAAACGAATTATTGTACATGTACTCATGTTTTAAAATCCATCAACATTTTCTATTGCAATTGAATTTGTAAAACTCCTCCATAAAAATAATCCGCGTAAATATATATGTATTAATATGGAAAAGAACGAAGATTATCATTAATATATGCATATTGCTTGGAATGCAGCTTTTGAGTAGGATAATTTTGGAATGGGGGCAATGACATTCTGACATATGTTGGAAAGAGTGCATTGAGTAAAAAAAAAGAATGCTGAAAACCACTGAAATTAGTTAAACAAATTTTCCGCAAAAATATATGCTTGCTCTTCCTTCTTCATCATCATTTATATCTCTCACTTCTCATATATATGTATATGCGCGTGTATGTACATATGTGTGACACAATCACACACACACACATATATATATATATATATATATAAGAAAGTAAAGTTTTTTTTATATATCCCACACTGGTAACGAATACAGGAAAAAGAATTTGCAAATGCAACTGGAGTCTTTAAGAATATTTATTTAGAGTAACTTTACCAGTTTTACAGTTCTATGATTTTCTAAAGTTAAATAAATATTCTTAAAGATTCCAGTTGCACTTTCAATATATATATATATATATATATATATATATATATATATATATATATATATATATATATATATGAGATATCGATATATATTTTTATATATGAAGAACAGTATTGGGGAAATTGCATGACAAAGTGGAAAAAGTTTACTCGTGACACGTTTTGTCCTTTAGGACTTCATCGAACTAAATTTGTTATGTTGGTAGTACTACACATGCGTACGACAGAGGGCAACTAGGAATTTTAGAAATATATACATAGCCGAATTCATTTACAGTCTTTTTCTTTTTCATTCCATCACTTTTGTAACTAGGTATTCCACACTCTGATGTTATTAGATCTGCCAGGAATGTTGAAATGTTGTAAAAGGCACGGCGCAAATTTACTGTAAATGACCTTGCGATTAAAGCACTCTCCAGACATTTACCACGTAGTCAATTATTTCCTTCTTTGATGAGAGTAGCATTTTTTTTATCAAAATTGTAGTCAGTCTCGTTACGGTGGACAACCAAAACATCTGATGTATTATTGTATAAAATGTGCCTTTTGTGTTCATGTAATCTTTTATGGAGATTCCTTGAGTTTTATTTATGTACAGGTCCACAACCTACTGAGGAAAAAAGAATTTATTTCACCAATAAATATTTGGGTTAAAGTGACACTTTATAGGAAAGGAAACTTTTCTTGTCATTACTTACCTGTTATGTCAGACTGTTCTTTGAGAATGTGGATCGTTCCGCGTGGTCAAGCTAAGAGGGGGAAAAAAGAAAAGACGAGCATGCTGTCTTTTCTTTTTTTTTTGTATCGTCTTTGGCTGAGGAGGAAGTGACGTAAGTCATTAGCGATTGGTCAGCGTGGCATTTATTTAACGAGTTCATTTGGTGCGTGCTTGGCGTATTTTTTTTTTTTTTTTTTCTTCAGGATCGCCTGCCGAAATAATACTGTTTCGGTAGGGTCTCTTGGGTGAACAAGTATGATGTTGCAAGACCCGAAACTTGTAATGACCCCAAGTCATAACATCACTGACGAGGCGATCCTGAGCACTCGTTGAAGTGTTTTCATGTCATATTTTCAACCTATTCTCTATTCTTGCCAATGCACTTAATTCAGTGGTGAATATTAATCACATTTTTTATACTAAATTTCACCCAATACAAAGCTCGAGAGACACTTAAGAAAGAGGATTGCTGATAAAATGTTTGTGATGAATAAAGTGTATAATATGAATGAAAGGGCACTTGGTAGGAAATGAAGATTATAAGGATGAAGAGGATAGATAATTGTCCTTTGACTTGTTTAGGGGAGCATCTCCGCAAGAGCCTATTCCACAACGTAGAAATACTTGGGAAAAAGTTGTCTGAGTGGAACTTTCTACTTTCATTTGGAATACGGAGGAAATGACGGTGATTCAACTTCGTGTAAGTAACGCGGTATGTTCCAGCTGTAAAGTTTAGACTGGTGAAGCTGAATAGAGGATCTAATCTGACCATTTGCCATGGAAATAGCGGTAGGTTTGAGACGTTGCATTTGTGGGAAATAGGTTGCAGTGGGAAGAATAAATCTTCTCCCACAAGACTGTATAAGCAATTCTGAGCTCTACCAAGACTGGAAAGTGAAGATCGGGTAGCTCCAGCTCAAATATGGCAGCAATTCTCCATTTTTGGTCTAATCTAACACTTTTAATGATAAAGCAAGTCGGAAAGGGTCAAATAAATAAATAGAAAATTGTACATTGACATTTCAGATCAAAGTTAAGCTGCTAATAAAAAGGGTACATACTTAATAATATACCTTCGTAGATAGATAGATAGATAGATAGATAGATAGATAGATAGATAGAAGTGTGAATATAAACTAAATAACGACATATTAGCAACTGTATATACGTGCGATAGCGTGCATACGCAGATAAGCAAATAAATATTTATTTAATTTAATTTATGGTGCAAATAAAACAGTGCTCAGTGTAGTTAAACAGAGCTATGAAGTATATATTAATAAATACACATATACCTACGTTTGTAGTGCAACGTAAATATTCATGGTTTCCCAAGTCGTCAGGCACAAATAGCAAATGATCCAATAATTACAGTTGTTTTTTTTTTTTTTTTTTTTTTTTTTTTTAATAATACTGGGTCTCATGAGAGGAAAGTTAAATTATACCCCGATTCAAAGCCCAAAGCTAATATAAATCCAATATATTAGTGGGGTGTAAATTCAAAATATAGATTGTATGGAGGTAGATATTGGAAAAAACAAAGCGAAGATAAAAGGAATGATACAAGCTTAAAGTTTATATGGTACATGTTTTTTCGTTGGAAAGTGTAAGGAGTAAGCAATATGATTAAAAAGCAGTAGGTAGGCACGGTGAATTGTCTTTTTGTTTATAAATAATCTCTATGTTTCAAGGGAGTAAGATAACATTTAATAATATTAGGATATAAACTAAAAAACTAAAAAAATGTAGATAGACAGAGACGGTAAAAGATGAGAAAAACAAAAAAGAATAAATTTTTAAAAGAAAAAAGTTTAAGAAAAGAGGAACGCCGAGTAACCCGTTACGTGTTAATAGACGCTTAAATGTTTAAAAAAAATAAGTATAATAAGTATAAGCGTCTCACTGGCGATGGTTCGATATAATGCTTTCTCCATTATTGCGGCTGGCAGAGGATAGCAAAAAAAAAAATGTTTATGGTTTCTGGAATTGTCATCAGTGGTCAACTGAACTTCAATAAATTACAATATTTTGACGTCAGAATAAAAAAAAATAAGTATAAGGTAATATGTATTTAGCCTAAAATGGGCAATTGAATTTGTGTAAAATGGTTAATCCAGAATCAAAATACTTTAGGAGAGACCTTTTTTTATGGATGTACGCTAGTATGAGCTCATTACGTTTGTTCAGCATGTTTGGGTCATAAATATTTTTGAGATTGAACCTTTTTTCCAGTAACCTCAGGCTAGATCGGTCACCGCGACCGGAAAAGAGTGTAGTTTTAGCAACGAAGTTCCAGTTTATTACCGATGTGTATTTATTTGTTTTAACTTCGTAGTAAAATTTTGAGAGTGCAGTGGCATTTGACTTGTTTATTGGTAAGAGTCCTTTTATGATGATAATATCGGGTTTTCCAGTGTTTGACAGTAGAACCAAAATAAGTCTCGCCATTATGTTTAATGCTAGCCGTATAAATAACGCCTTTATACATACATTTATGATTTAGTGGACAGGTACTTTTTTTTCGGCCATTACACTTTTTGTCTCTATTAATATTGTTATTGAGGTTGTTTAAATATTTGTTTAATGTTAAATTATTATGTTGTGCTATATACTGCTCGAGGTTTTTGGTGCAGCTGTATCTACTATTAATGTTGTTCACGTTGAAGATTTTGTTGAGCAATGGGATATGGCTGAAATGTTTGTAGATTAAATTAAGGAAAATTTTACCTATATTGGTTTTGACATTTTTGTTAAATGGAGGGTTAAACTACATTATATTGCATTTTCTATTCTTGTGTTTATTATTGTCATTCTGACTAATGTTTATGTATTCTAGTTTAACTACATATATATATATATATATATATATATATATATATATATATATATATATATAAATATATACTGC